TGATATTGATAGGTACCTCCTTATAAAATATGTGCTTATTGAAGAAAATACAGAAAAAGCATTATATACTAAAATATCAACAACATTACCACCCTAAAATAAATATTAATTTTCTAGAATATTTTCTCTTAGGGCTGTGTGTTCACAAGTATGCCCATGTATGTGTATGTAGAGAAATATTTAAAATCAATATCCCTGATTTTTATTATAAGATTTCAGCTATATTTTATATAGTAAAATAATGGATATACCAGGTACCTGACATAATAGAGTCATTTTATATATTACATTTTAAATGAATTATTTTTATACTGTAGTCAAGATAATGCTGTATATTTGACTTGTTAAAAAGAAAAATGTGCATATAAATCATTTTTTGGTTAATTTATTTCAAAACATTTTTATTAACCTAGAAATCCAGTTTAAAAATATCATATTCAAAATCTTAGTTTTTACCCATTGAAATTAACTGAAAATTAGAATATGTAAAACGTTAGTGTTTGATCTTGTTAATTTTCTTTTTCTTTACTAGTAACACTGATACTGTGATTGCAAATGGAGATGATACATCCTCTGAAGAGGAAAAGGAAGATCAGAATATAAATGTGAATGTGATGCATCAAGTGACAGACTCTCTTACTCCCAGCAGTTGTTATAAGAATGTTTCAAATTCAGAAATTTTCAATGGTGGGGAAGTGAATAGACAATTGAACTGTTCAATAAATGGTTCAAATTCTTATCACAGTAATGAAGATGAAGAAGAAGATGATGATGATGGCGGTGATAATGAAAATGACTATGATACTTTAGGGACTGGAGATAATTCTGTACCAACAATATATTTTTCTCATACTGTTGAACCTAAGAGGGTTTGTATACTTTTAACTTTACTAACTTTTCACATATTTGAATATTAAAGATCATCTACGATAGTCTTTAAAAGAACAGTATTAACAGGGATTAATATTGTTGGTAGTACCAAACAAGAAAAAAAAGTCTAGATAGTTAGCTGATATTGGTTTGTTGTCCTTTGAAGCAACAATAGAAGCTGACTTGGGGTCTGGAAGGAGATCAGATTTGAGTGGCAACTAATGCAGTTCCACCTGTCTTTCATTCAGAGAGCTTTCTTAAGAATTCTTGAGTTAATTGTGTTGTGGGCATTTTGTCATCTTTAAGATGAAAGTGACTTGCATTAGTTAAATTTTTAATTATATTAGGTTGTTGTTTGTTGTTTTCATTTCATAAAGTAAATAGGAACATCATGAGCGAAAAGGAAAAAGAAGGAAGTGAAGATTAGTTCCTTTTCTCACAAAGTATATATAAACATGTCTGGGTAATCATGACTTTAGAATTTTGGTATTTTAGACCTAGGGGTTACTATAGAGAGATCTTCTAATACAGGTTTTTAAGCTTTTCTTAATATCAAAAGACTTTTTGTTCCCTCCATACTTATTGTAGAGTCTTCAGTATTTAAATCCAGATCAAAGCAGATTGGATCTTATTGAAGGAAGGATAGGCTACATTAAGCCCATTCTGTTGCTCTGTCTACCCCATAATACTGCTTTAAGGAGCCACCTGGAATTCGTCTTTCTAATTTGTCTTTTTCAAGGAAACTTAAGGCCTAGAAAACCATAGAACTGGTTAGTAGTAAAACAGGGACTCTTTGTCTCAGTTTGGTGCCTTTTCTTTTTCTTTCTTTTTTTTTCTTTTGTAACCACAAGGTACCGTTGCAGGGATTGCCTGTATCAGAGTTAAGGATTTGTGGTTCAGTCTTAAGTGTCTGTGATTATTTTTTAATGAAACATATTTAAAACTATTTGATATTTCTTAGGTCTTTTAAGTTTTCCCTGCTCTAATATGAAGTGAAATAATTATATATATTTTATATTCTGATGCTTCAGACTAAAAGAAGCATCTTGTGAATTCTTTGGAAAAAACTGATCAGAAAAAATTTGTTTTGTGATTTTCTTTTCAGGCTTTAAATTTATTTTCATTTAGATAAAATAAGAATAATAAATAATATTTGCAGGAATGTCATGGGGAAGAGCAGTCATTAATGTGGAAGGTGTGGTATAAATGCTAAGTAGGAATAGAGCAATAATGTATTAATCCTGAACAGGGTTCATTTTTATTTTTTGGCCCTTTGATTTTTAAAAATTAGATATATAAAAAATTCTAAATAGTTAAGCATTATCTAATAATGCTTTTATGATTTAAGTTTTATATTCTTACTGAATATTTATTTGGGTTAATTGTGCTCTTTGTTTTGAAATGCATGACTGAAGCCAAAAACTTTCATCAAAGTAATGGGTGATGTGAAAGCTTATAATAAATCTACCATTTAGTTTATATGTATCTTGCATTCTGTACAATAATAAAGTCACCAAAGACTAGAATTGGTCATTAAAGAAGATATAATTTAATACTGTAGGACTATGATAAGGTAAGAACTTTTTAACCCTATCTGGTAATACACATCATTTCAGTGTCAAAAAATTTAAACTGCTTCTCTTACTATTATTTCTTTAATTGCAGAGTTTATTGATTTTAGTTTTGGTCTTGATTTAATTTCTCAAAAGGATCATAATTTTTGGCTGTGAAATTTTTAGGTCCGAATAAATACTGGAAAAAATACCACTTTGAAATTCAGTGAAAAGAAAGAGGAAGCCAAACGTAAGCGAAAGAACAGCTCTGGCAGTGGTCATTCTGCCCACGAGCTGCCAATGATCAGGACTCCTGCTGACATTTACAGGTGAGTGGTGTTCACAGACGGCAGAGCAATCTACTCTTCCTTTTTCTCTTTTTGCAACTGAATATAGGAAAAGGTTGTGTGTTACACAGAAGGCTGTCACTGAAAAGTTGAGGTATTCTGATAGAGCTAGCCTCGTATTTTAAAGGGTCTCACAGGAGCTGCTGAGCCCCACCACAGCTTCCCAGTTCAAAGCAGTTAGAATGTTCCTTGGTTTTTTCCTTTTTCCTATGTTCGCCAGTACTTTTAAAACATTTCTAATCTAGTCAAAAAATGCCGTATGTTTACTTTAGAAATGAAAATTTGTGTTTCTGGTGGGCTGTGGCAATGCTTTATTACCATAGCTATGACAGTGCTTGGCATTTGGTTTACCTTTTCACAGAGTCAAAGTTAAGTATGCTCTTTCCATTTGTTTGTTGAGAAAGCTGTCATTTGAAAATACCAACTGTTTTCATGACTCATATTGTAAAATAGTGAAAATTGCTAAATGTCTTGTAAGTAGGTCTAAAGTATATGTAGAATTTTGGCAAATCAAGCTGTTGTCACCCAAAACATGCTTAGAAATAAACTGCTGTATTTTACTAGGCCAAAGAATCATTTTTAAAAATAATGTAAATATGTCATTTGAAGCTACAAAAGTACTGTGTTGGTGAAAATTTTATGGATAAGTTTGAATAAAACATTTCAGATTAATTTCCAGAAAAGTTTTAAAAATCATTATAATTTTATCCTTGGCTTTATGAGTTAACTAAAGTATGTGTGTGTTATTTTGCTATTATAGAGTCTTTGTTGACATTGTGAATGGAGAATATGTGCCCCGTAAGTCAATCCTGAAGTCCCGCAGTAGAGAGAACAGTGTTTGCAGTGATACCAGTGAAAGCAGTGCTGCTGATTTTGATGACAGACGGGGAGTCTTGAGGAGCATTAGCTGTGAAGAGGCCACTTGTAGTGACACGAGTGAGAGCATTTTGGAAGAGGAACAACAAGAAAATCATCAAAAGAAACTTTTACCCTTATCAGGAACACCTGAGGTGTGTTGTGTATCTTTTAACTCTTTATTTCTTATAGTACCTTTGACCAGTTGTTTTGAGTTAGAAAGGTGGAGGTAGTTCCATTTCAAAGGGGCATGCCCTTCGTTTTCCCTGCTGTACATAGTTATCTTTGGAATTGAAAAGATTTTTAAAAAAATTTTAGCTGCTGTATCTTCCAGGTATGGTCTATAAATCATTAATCTTATTGTCCTTAAATGACTTTATTTTATATAATTATTTATTGAACTTAATTGACAAAAGTAATGGCATTGTTTACCTTGTAGCTTCTTTAACTTATACTTATTTAATCTCAGGTCATAGATCCTTATTAATTCTACACTTGCACTTTTTAAATAATAATTTGTAAAAAAATTAATAGTCACTAGCAAACACAACATAGGTATTATATTAAAATAGTTCAGAATGTTTTGTTTGTGGAAGTATTACCACTCTTGAAGTTCTGTTTCTCTGAAATAGGAATTTTAAAGTATCTTAATTTAGCATATATGCTTCATTTTTGGCTAAAAATTATTTAGCAGCTTATTTTAAATAAATTCCCCTAAACCAGACTATATTAATTGCTTTATAATAGTTCAAGTAGCAGATTATACTTTTTTCTTTTAAATGCTTTGGTTGAGTTAAAGAAAATAATATATGCTGGCAGATAATTAAAGCCCTTCTATGTTTTGGCCTATGCCAGTGAAATTTTTAACTCTTGGTGTCATATAACTATTTTACAATCTAGTTAAAAGCTGTAAGTTCTCTCCTTAGAAAAATGAGTACACACATGTACACTCTTACCCACCATGTTCATGTTACACATAATTTTGTGTGTGGAGAGGGAGGGATATTGGGAGATACCAAAATAGGAATGCTGTGGTTTCCATTATACCCAGACTTGACTTTTTTATTCTTGTGTTTGGTAGGTATTTCAGGTTTTCAGGTCGAAAAGTATTTAGGAAGACTGAGGAATTCATACTTGTATCAAACTTATAAACTCATTTGTGTGAGCATCAAATACATATAAAAATAAACATCTTTAAATTTAAGTAAGCGTACATAAAGCTTCTGTTGCTTGTATTAAATAGCCCCTAATGGTACTAATTGTACTAAATGGTAATGGAGATGGAGGGATCATTAGTATTTAGGGGCAATATGTGTGATCTTCTCCCCTTCTCCCAATGTAATGATCTCAGTTGACCTGGAAAGTATCTTATTTAATAGTCTTCCATACTTCCAAAAGTGATAGACTTTTGCTGGTTTTAAGTGTCCGAAGATTAGGTTTTTGTAAGGACTTAATATATCGTGGTACAGGGAGGGCTGAAATCTGGAACTTATTTTCGTCTCGTCCTATTTAATAGCTTTGCATTTTGTATTGAACTATTACAGTTGACATCTAAGATGCTGTAAGTTTTTTAACAGCAAAATAAATAGTTCATGATTATGGCAAGTACTTTGAAAGGTATCTTTTTTGTTTTTTTACTTTTTAAATTAAAACAAAAATGTAAAACACCTTTATTGTGGTATAATTCCTGTATAGTTTACAGGAATTTCAGGTGTACAATTTGATAGATGTATACACCTATGAAATCACCACCAGAATCAGTATAGCTAACATTTCCATCACTCCCCAAGAGGTGCAAATTTTGACCTCCAGATTTATCCCTTTCCACTCCCTTCCCCCTCTGGTAACCATAAATTTGTTCTCTTTGTGAGTCTGTTTCTGGTTTGTAGGTAAGTTCATTTGTGTCTTTTTTTTTTTTTTAGATTCCACATGTAAGTGATGGCATGTGGTATTTTTCTTACTCTTCCTGGCTTACTTCATTTTGACAGTCTCTAGGTCCATCCATGTTGCTGCAAATGGCATTATTTAATTCTTTTTTATGGCTGAGTAGTATTCCATTGTATGTATATACCACAGCTTCTTTTTACAGTCATCTGTTGTGGGCATCTAGGTGGTTTTCATGTCTTGGCTATTGTAAATAGTGCTGCTGTGAACACTGGTGTGCATGTGTCTTTTCAAGTTATATTTTTCTCCAGATATATGCCCAGGAGTGAGATTGCTGGATCATATGATAAGTTTATTTTTAGTTTTTTAAGGAACCTCCACGCTGTCCTTCATAGTGCGTGCACCAGTTTACATTCCCACTGACAGTGTAGGGATGTTCTTTTTTTTGCATTTATTGTCTGTGAACGTTTTAATGATGGCCATTCTGACTGGTGTGAGGTGATACCTCATTGCAGTTTTGATTTGCATTTCTCTAATAATTAGTGATGTTGAACATTTTTTCATGTGTTTGTTGGCCATCTGGATGTCTTATTTGGAGAGATGTCTGTTTAGGTCTTCTGCCCATGTTTTGATTGGGTTGCTTTTTTTTTATATTAAGCTATGTAAGCTGTTCGTATATTCTGGAAATTAGTCCCTTGTCAGTTGCATCATTTGCAAATATTTTTTCCCATTCTGTAGGTTGTCTTTTCTTTTTGTTGATGGTATCCTTAGCTGTGCAAAAGCTTTTAAGTTTAACTAGGTCCCATTTGTTTATTTTTACTTTTATTTCCATTACTCTAAGAGCTGGTTCAAAAAAAAATATTGCTGTAACTCATGTCAAAGAGTATTCTGCCTATATTTTCCTGTAGGAGTTTTTATAGTATCTGGTCTTACATTTAGGTCTCTGATCCATTTTGAGTTTTTTTTTGTATATGGTGTTAGAGAATGATCTAATTTCAGTGTTTTACAGGTTGCTGTCCAGTTTTCCCAGCACTACTAATTGAAGAGACTGTTTTTTCTCCATTGTGTATTCTTGCCTCCTTTGTTATAGATTAATTGACCATAAGTGCATGAGTTTAATTTCTGGACTTTCTGTCCTGTTCCATTTATCTGTGTGTCTGTTTTTGTGCCAGTACCATACTGTTTTGATTACTGTAGCTTTGTAGTCTGAAGTCAAGGAGTGTGATTCCTCCAGCTCCGTTCTCCTTTTTCAAGACTGTTTTGACTATTCAGGGTTTTGTTTTTTTTGTTTGTTTCCATACAAATTTTAACATTTTTTTGTTCCAGTTCTGTGAAAAATATCATTGGTAATTTGATAGGGATTGCACTAAATCTGTATATTGCCTTGGGAAGTATGGCCATTTTAACAATACTGATTCTTCCAATCCAAGAACACGATATATCTTTCCATCTGCTTATGTCGTCTTCAGTTTCTTTCATCAGTGTCTTACAGTTTTCGAAGTACAGGTCTTTTGCCTCCTTGGGTAGGTTTATTCCTAGGTATTTCATTATTTTTGGTGTGATGGTAAATGGTATTGTTTTCTTAAATTTCTTTTTCTGCTATTTTCATTGTTAGTGTCTAGAAATGCAACTGTTCTCTTTGAGTTTCTTTTAAGAGCTGGACTCCACCCAAGGTCTCAGAGTACTGTGGAAAGGTCAGGGCTGTCTGGGTTTTTGTTTCTTTGATGGGGCAAGATGAAGGAGGTTGGTTTTTTTAAACTATTCAAGTGATATATTGTCTTAACTAATTTTGTACACTTGGTAGACAAAGGAAAGCAAAATATACATGAAAGTTTACATGTCAAATTTTAGTTTGTACATAATGAATTTTTAAAAAATTAAGAGGAGGGGATTCGAATACCAGAAATCTTAAAAAAAAAACATAATAACTTGATTCTTATAGATCTCCATATAAAAGATACAGAAATACGTATCTTTGGTTTTATTTTCAGCATTTTGTACACACTACATGCATACATATAGCTGACCAAAATGAAGTCCAATGAACATGTAGTTGAAAGTAAAGAATCATTTTTTGGGGAGCCTCTGATTTTTGTCATTGAATTAATTGTATTAAAATTTGAGACTGATGTTTATTTCCACTAGCATCAGAACTTTCAATTTTGTTTCCATGATCTCAAATAAAATTGAGGCAAGATGCAATAAAATACTCAAAAAATTGCATAAATGAACAGCACCTAAGAGATGTCATTGCTGCTGATACTAAGCTGTTGGCCAGCAGGCAGCATAGCCACCATAGGATAGCTCATTCATCAGCTGATGTTTGACACCCTAATAGAATTTTTAATTTTAATAGATTGTTTTTCACAGCATGGTCTAGATATAAATGGAATGTGTAAAAGTTGAAGACCTTTTACCGATTTTTAAAAATCCCATGTAATACATGTTTTTCACATTTTGTTAACTTGAAATGTGTACTGTAAAAATTGGCTTGTGTTTGGTGATATAATGACGATGTATTTTAATGGCACTTGATTTCTATGAGCAATTTGTATTTAATGTTATAGTTTTGTCTATCCAAAAGTCTTAGGAATTTACTTTTAATGAAAAAGAATGCCTTAAAAAAAAAGAGAAAAGGGATGTGGAATTGGCAAATACAGGATAAAGATTTTTGTGGGTATTTTATTTGCGTTTTATTATCATAATATGACTTTTGTCTTCTAGGCTTTTTCTGGAACTGTAATAGAAAAAGAATTTTTGTCACCCTCCTTACCATCACACCCAGCCATGGCTCATCCTATGCTTCCCACCATTCCAGAACGAAAGGAAGTTCTGTCAGAAGTTTCAGAAGAAACTACAAAGAGGGTTTCAAAGTTCAAAGCTGCCAGATTGCAGCAGAAAAGCTAGGGCTTGCTAGGAAATGGAAGTTTACATCCTAAAACCTAGTTTTGCAATTGTTTAGAATACATATAGCAAAATATGTTACATGTGATTTGAAATGAGGCCTCCTCGGTTGACTTGGCAGCAGGTTCTTGTACTCTTATCAGTGGTATTAAAAAAATCAAAGTAAATATTTAAATACTTTCATATTCAGCTTGTTTTGTTAATTCTCTGAATACTGTCAACACTTTTGTCTAAGTTTGCCTTATGATGCAGAGGCAGCATTTTGAATTATTTTTTAAAGAGTACTGTTCACAGGCATTGTTTTTGTGTTTTGAACTAAATACAGGCAGTTTTGTACCAGCTGTGATGTTGTGCATACCATATGGACCATTTTAAAGAAACTTTTTAAATTTCAAATAGATTCAACAATTATATTACTTGCTTTAGCATTTTAAAGGCACTTTAAAAAATCTACTTCTTGTAGATTTTGCAGCTAGGTGGCTATTTGAAAAAAATCTCTCCCCCTTTGACTGTCATTCTGTAGTATCTAAGGCAGAAAGCTACATGTACCCAAGGGAAAGTTTCTTTGATTGGAAGAATGGTATTTTGTAAAACATTTTTTAAAGTAAAATTTTTATGAAACTTGGTCTCTAAAAATGTTGTGAACTTTATGATCCAGAATTGAATATAGAAATGTCTTTGATTCATATATATGCTATGTGCACCACACAATGGATCCTTGAATTATTAGAATTCCATAGACAGTTCTTCTCCCCTAGTATGTGCAGTTTTAACTGGTGTTATATTTTAGGAGAGAAGAAAAGGTTGTCTAGATGATAAATAAATAAAATTTTAAATAAGAAATTTTATGTTTTAATCTTCCCAACATTTTCATTCTTTAAAGCTACTTTCCTACTAGTGAGTAATTAAATAACATATTTACTTTTAGCAAAACTCCTTAAAATAAAGGGAAATTTATTCTAACATTGAAAATTACACTGCAAGTGTTAATCATTAGCTTTATGCATGCTAAAATGTAGCTTTTAAAAAGCATTCTGCATTAGTACTAAAATAAGCCATCAATGCCAGTCCACCCTCTATTCATAGCTAAATATTTAAAGGTTATTTATAGCTTCTTTAATGAATTTTTGCTTAAACAAAGTGAAATTATGTCCTAGAAAAGTAGAAGCTATTTGTAGCTAGAACAACACAAGTGTAAAAGTTTTATGAATATGTATTTTAGTAGCAAGGGGGTGAGCTAGAATCCCCACAAATCAATGGATAGTTCAGAACAGAGGGCTGATTTTAAAAGAGTGCCCCAAAACTTAAGAACATCTGTCCTTTAGTGAATTTTGATCAAATGCGCATATGTTTTTAGTTAAAAGCTGTTTTTCTCTCAGCCCATCCACCACTAAAAAAGAAAACAACCAAGAGTACAATCACATAGACACAAAGGAGCCCCCAACTCCAACTGCTTGTCAAGTAAACCCTTCTGTGTTAGATTGTCTCCAGAAGCATACTTCATCGTGAGATTATTGTGACGTTCTTTCTAGACATGTAATTTCAAGAGTACTGTCATTAAATAATTTTTCATGTTTTTCAACTTCATTTTGAGCCTGTTGTTGTTTATGTAGTTTATGTTTCTTCTTGCAAGGAGATGGTCTTATGGAACAAGATGGTAGAAACAAAAAGTGTTCAGTGAGACTGCTGAAGACCCCACGAAGTAATGTTGCCTGCGAAGTAATGTTGCCTGCCCTGCCCGTTTCATAGCTAGAGTCTTATAACAAAGTTTCAAATTGTAACTTAACCTTGTAGCTTTATGGTTCATATTAAATTCAGTTTGCAGTGTGTTAAAATGAAGTTGGGCTTAAGTGTTCCCTTTTAAGCCATTGTAAAACAGAACAGACTAAAAATTTTTTTTAACTTTTAATTTTGAACTAATTTTAGACCTACAGAAAAATTGCAAAAATAGAACCGAGTTCCCATATACTCCCTCATCCAGCTTCTCCTAAAATTTTAGCATCTTGTACGACCATAATACCATTATTAAAAACCAGAAAATTCACATTGGTACAATACCATTAGGTAATCTACAGATACTTGAATTTCACTGACTTTCCACTAGGGGTTCTTCTGTTCCAAGAGCCTATGTTAGAGTCCCACCTTGCATTTATTTGTTGTTGCTCCTTAGTTTCCTCCAATCACTGGCAGTTCCTCAGTTTTTCCTTACCTTTCATGACTTTAGTATTCTTGAAGAGTACTGGTCAGGTATTCTGTCTGATGTTCCTCAACTTGGGTTTGTCTGATGTACTGACATGATTAGAATGATGTTCTGCCTTTTTGGCAAGTATACCACGGAGTCATATCAAGAGGTTCAGATCAGAGTTGCATTCTAGTGTGTCATTTCAGGAAGTCCATATTTTAATCTTGATCATTTACCCTTTGTCACTTGGTTAGGGGGCTGTCTGCCAGGTTTTTCCACTAAAAAGTTACTATCTTTTTCTTTGTAGTTAATAGATATCTTGCAGGAGATATTTTGAGATTTGCAGATTTTTTTTCCCTTAATCTTAAGCTCACTGATTTTTGCATTCATTTGTGAATCTTGTCTACAACAGGTTATTACTGTGATATTTGCTTAATGGTGATTTTCTGATTTGCTCTTTCTTTCTATATTTATTTCTTGGAACTCTTTTGTAATAAAAAGCTGTGTTCCCTCCACCCACATTTATTAATGTATTTGATTTGTGTCAGTGTGGACTTGGATATTCTATTCTATGGGTCAAAATCCAGTTATTATTTTGTTTGCTCAAATTTGACTATGAGGAGCCCCTTTGAGCTGGCTCTTGAATTCTTTCAACAAGTTCCCATCCTTTTTTGAACACTTTCTGACACCACAGTGTTATGGGCTTATCTTGTATTCTTCATGTCCCAGCCCTGGAATCAGTAACTGCTTCTCCAAGGAGCCGTTGTTCCTTTTACTGGAGAATGGCGTTTAAAAACCAACGTCTTCTCATGTAGGTGTATATATTGCCATTGGAGTGTCATTGCTTCTAGGCCCTTTTAGTAGATAGGGCAAGCAAATTATATATACTAACTGATGCACATATCTATCTGTATTTATATATTTGTCTGCTTATGTACATGAGAAAATGTAAGTTTAAACCGATACATGTGATTTTAATCTAACCACACAATTCATCTCAGTTTTTTTCTTATTTATGACTTCTTTCTCCAGTAGTGAGAAACCTGACTCTTATTATATGCAGTGTATTTACTTATTTTTAAATATCTGGTACAGTTGACCCTTGAACAAGTTGAAAATTGATGTGTAACTTTACAGCTGGCCCTCAGTATCCACAGTTCTGTACCTGCAGATTCAGCCAACTGTGGATCATGTAGGACTATAGTATGTATCTGTGAAAAGACACCACGTATAAGTGCACTGATGCAGTTCAAACACATTTCAAAGGTCGACTGGTGACACACCAGTTGTTTCAGAGTGCTAATCCTAACCCCCTTGAGAAACATATTTAAGTATATGGCACTGTTTATGTTCAGTTTTTTTTTTCCTTTAGCTTTATAAGTATCGATCAAAGTATTTTCCAAAGTTATTTAGGTTAGTTTAGTTCCTTTTCTCCCCTACCCCCTTCATTGTGATTGTTACTCATTTGTAATAGAGTTAGGTTCATTTGTTAGTTCAGTGTTCCATTTTGGATTCTCTCCACATCTTGGTTAGTTTTAATGGTTTATTTTGGGGATATGTGAAACACTCATATGGTTCTAAGAGTCAAAGTTATGTAAAAAGATAAACAGAAACACAAAGTGTCACTTCCTCATCTACCTGCTGTTAGTTACCAATCTTTGTTTTCTGGTTTAACCTTTTTGTTTTTCTTTTGCACAAATAGATAACATGCTTTTTTTTTTTTCTTTCTTACCTGAAGAATGACATATAATAATAATTCTTCATTGCACTTTAATGTTTTTCAATTAATAATACACCCTGGTAGTCACTTGAAATTTATAGAGATCTTTGTCTTTTTTTTTTTCTTTCACAGAGAGGTAACACTTTTTTAATGTAGATATAACATAGTTTATTCAGCTACTTTCCTGTGTATGGGCATTTAGGTTTCTGGTATTTTGCAATTACAAATGATGATACAGTGAATGACTTCACTGTGTGTGTATTTTTGTATTGTTGGAAGCATCTTCCAGGTAGATTCCTAGAAGTAAGGTTAATGGGCCATCTTCACTATTACTATATGATTTCTTTTAAACACAATAAAGTCTGTTTTTAAGAAGTATTTCTTATCAAGGACATGGTTTTAATACATATGCTTATATATCTGTATTTTATTGATGATTCTTTGATAGTAACTTTGGGACACTATAGTGTCCTACAGGGACTTCCTAATCATTAAGGCAGTTAAATATTTATAGTGATCATGCTCATTTTGCCATATTTTAATTTTTATTTTTGAGGGGGAAATTGGTCAAGTGATTTATAAGAGCGTTCCATAAATTGGTTTTTTTCAAGTTTATAAAATACAGATATCTAATTATATTAATTTTTCTCCTCCATAAGAAACAGCTTTTCAAGGATACTAATCTTTTTTTGTTTATCCTTTTGGTGAGTGGCATATAGGCTTTCAATTAAATGCTTATTAAATGAATTCCTCAACTACAATACTTAGACAGTTTTTATGTTTAATCCATTGGTTGATATTGTCAAGTTTTTACATTTTAAAATGCTTTCTCAGTTATTTAAACTTCATTTTAAAGGAACATCAATTAGGGATATTGAAGAAGTTTTTGCTGTTCCCTTACATAACCAATGAATCATAAAGAATCAAATAATATTTTTGAGCACTTACTGTGTGTCAAGCATTTTCTATGTACTTTATGTGGATTATTTCATTTAACACTCACAGCAAAACCCAGAGACGTAGGTACTAAATTTCAATCCTCTTCCCTCCTCCCCTCCCCCATTTTAGAGATGAGGAAACTAACTCAGAGATTAAGCAATATTTTAAGCCACACAACTATTAAATGGTGGAATTGGGGTTTAAATCCAGACAGCCTTGCTGCAGAATTAAGAGTCTTCACACTTTTTTTTAATGTTTAAATTGCCCTCTAAACAAAAGCATATAGCTAGTAAGGAAATTATAATCTGTATATCTGAATAATCTTGCTTATTTATAATGAGGTCACCTTTAAAAAAGTCTGAGTTGGAAAACCACTTTTTTCCTTGATCTTTACACAGTAAGATAATTCATTTGACTTGGTGGAATGGAGGTGAAGTTTCAGGGATGTTATTTGATGATATGCATAAAAGAAAGGCATATGCAGTTGGAGAATAATTAAAAGTAAGAAGAGAAATAATCAGTGTAATGGTATTTAATTGAAAAATTCATTTTCCTATAAATTTAGGCATTATTTTATGTATATATGCCTATGTAATATACTATTCTATAATAGTACAGAATAGTATGTTCATGATCCATTAGTCTCATAGTGACTTTCTTTACCCCAATGACAATTTTTGTTTTTTTGCTTTAAAATATTTTGTGTAACATTAATACAGGTAGTTAAATGTTTGCTGTTAAAATAGTTTCCTTCGTGTGTGTGTGACACCTGTCTTTGTGTGTATGCATACATGTATGTATACTGTTCCTGTAAACAGGTTTTACTCTACTCTGACAATGTCTTGTAACTGTCAGGTTTGGTCTAGGTTTGTTGTAATTATGCTTATCGGGACTTACTCTGTTGTTTTGGGCATTCTATTTGCCGTGCTTGCTTATTGCCTGCTGTACCCTAACCCTACTCCCCCCTTTACTACTGTTCAGATTAAGTGCTTTCTGTTTTTCTGTTCTCTCTGCTGACTTGGAAATTATGAAATTACATACTTGGCTGTATTTTAAGTTTTTGACACTTTACTATTAAAATGTGCCCTTTTATTATAACTACTCTCTTCTCAGACAATATTGTGATCACTTCAGTGTTTGCAGTACTTTGGTTCCATTTTTTCAAACACTTTTATTGAGGTATAATTTATATACTATAACATCTTTTTTTGTTTTTGTTTTATTTTGTTGTTGGGATTTTTTTTCTTTGTTTTATTGATGCATTGTCAGTTCACAATGTTGTGTCAATTTCTGGTGTACAGCATAAAGTTTAAGTCATACATAAACATACATATATTCATTTTCATATCCTTTTTCATTATAAGCTACAAGATATTGAATATAGTTCCTTGTGATTTTCTTTTTTTAATTGAAGTGAAGTTGATGCACAATATTATATAAGCTACAGATGTATAATACAGTGATTGACAATTTTTAAAGATTATGCTCCATTTATAGTTACTGTAAAATACTGGCTATGTTCTGTGTGTTATACAGTATATTCTTGTAGTTTATGTTATACATAATAGTTTGTACCCTATCCCTGTAGTGCCCCTCCTCTTCCCTCTCTGCACTGTTAATCACTAATTTGTTCTCTTTATCTGTGAGTCTGCTTTTTTATGTTATATTCACTAGTTTGTTGAATTTTTTTAGATTTTGCATATAAGTGGTATCATACAGTATTTGTTTATCTCTGACTTATTTCAC